GTCACAATGTTACCTTGTATCACTTTAAAACAGCTTACTGAATCATTTCGATGGAGAAACGTGCCAAACACATGTAGATGCTGCTGCATGGTGGCGTTTTACAAGACCAGTTCGCAAAAGAAAATGTACCATTGTGAAAAACCAACTTTGAGCTGCGATTGGTGTGGTAAAGTCTAAATCAGCTGCCAGATGCTGTGAAGAGAGAATAGCTGAATTGCATCTTGCAGGAGCAGATGTTGGTGATCATGGGCACTCGCACACTTTGTTTAATGATATGATCAGCGTTGTGAATTCTTTTATCGACAACAGAACCCAAAAGTTTCTTCAAGATCCTCTTCCAAATACGGGAACTCCACCACATTTTTACATCACTGCAGATAAAAGTACCAACCACCATTCTTAAGAAACCACACAATACATCAGTATAATATGCTGCTCTGTTCTTAAGAAATGTAGCAATATATCAATATAATGTGTTAGTGTTGCTTCATTCTAAAGAAACCACAATATCATCTAGATACCATATATATCAATATAATAATTATGTTGTTGCTTCGTTCTAAAGAAACCATACAATATATCAGTCAATATAATATGTTGTTGCTCCGTTCTTAAGAAACCATACAATACAGGGTGTATAAAAATACCTGCAAACACTATAATTTGCATAATTCTGCTGTTTACCACCATTTCAATGTCTATGCTACTTTTAGGGGCCTGTTCATATTGGCAAACGTTATCCCGATTAGTGAGAAAACTTTTCAACAAGTGTACAAGCGAGATCTTGCCTAGTATGAAAATAATATGAAAAGTTACTGCATTCATATGAGACAAAAAGTTTTCTTGTGTATAGTGAGATCTCGCTTGTTGACAGGTGAGATCTTGGTGACTGGGATAAAGTTTTTTGCATATGAACACAACTTTCCCGCTTAGCGAAATAACTTTCTGTTGTGTCAGCAACTTTTTAATTCAATTGATGTTCAGTGCTGCGTCACAGCTGGAAACTTTACCCGGTAAGCGGGATAACATTTCTCCATATGAACAGAACAAAAGTGTTTGGCTAGTCAAAAATTTTTCTCGTTCACCGGGATAATTCCTGCCCATATGAACAAGCCCTTATTTTGCTTCTGGAATTTTAACTACATTCTAATTTACCGTGTTGATGGAAATTAGATAACACAAAGTTATTTGTAATGCAGAAAACTAATTATCAGTTTGACTGCATGCTAGTGGTCAACTATTGTGTTAATGCCTGGTTCACACTAGCCTACAGTGTGAATCCCAGCAGAAACACGTTTCGTGAGGGGAAACTCACGAAAAAAAAAGTTTATGCTCGGGTTTACACAATGGTCATAACAATCGGGGATTTATATTGTCTGTGGTCACTGGTGTGTAAAATGCTTTGTCTGTCGGAAAAGAATACAATATATTGCCAATGAATTACGACCAGTGAGAACCAGGCTTTACGCACGCTTGGGATCAATTAGTTCTGAATCATATAAATTCTAAAAACATTGTATTTCGAAGGGTTCGATACAACCTGTATATTGCACCTGAATTTCATATTCGGAAAGGTCAAATGCATGCAATGTACCAATTTTAAAGTATAGTCACTCTCATACGACTATGACAGCCTACCAATGTAGATATATTAATTCTTCAATACATGCATGTAAAGTTGTGTTTCCCCATGTATAACACTTTATACTAAAACCCACACCTATAATAAGTTAAATTAACTCATTAACGCGCAAGCTGTTACAATGTTTCTACCTCCCAAAGCCCAAGCAATATGGCGAATATGTGATTGAATTCAAGAGCTTTCACCAAAATGGCAATATCTCAGAAACAGTTGCATGAAAAAATCTGGTCTTTTCAACCAAACATGAGTGATATATGATTGACCAAATTTAGTTTAAAATGAATTTGCATACCTATATATATCATTAGTTATTTCAATGAGAATTTTTATTTGTAAAGCAGTGACACTTTGTTTTTCATGTCACTCACCACCTGCAGGGGCAATATCTCCATAAATTTATATAAAAACCAGGAAAAAAATATTTACTAAATTAGTACATATCTATATTATAACCAATTTTCATCTATTGAGATAGGAATTAGAAAATGATCAAAAATTATAAAATATACTCCTTTGCTTTTTGGGGGCAAGATGTTTACAACATGCAATTTAGAACAGTAACTAAGTGTTCAAATTCAACAAAGTGGCAAGCCAAAACACAGTGCTTGTGCATCTTTCAAGTTTTTAATTACTTCAAATATATTTAAAAGGACATATGGTACTATAATCTATTTATTTTCAATTTAAACCAAGGATGGGAAGGTGAGAAAATAGGAATTTTCTGAGGTGTTTTTAACACAGACAAGGACAGCCGACATTTTCAAAGGCAAATTGTGGTCACAAAACCAAAAGCTATTAACCTCTTAACTCGAAGCACTGAAAAACATTTTAAACATACATCAGGTAAGACTTTTAGCTCAATTTTCTCATGTTTTTTGTTGGAAAAGCAATGGTTGTTAGCCAAAATTATTTTGCGCGCCAATGTAGGCTGCCAGACTGTAAAGTTTGGTCTGCCGCGTTCCCCGCACAGAATTTTTCAACACAAATTTGTCCGTGCATTGGTGAAATTGCCTTCATTATTTAAATCTTTCTATCAGTATATAATGCCGTAAAAAGCTAATTTGCATAAAATATAATATTTCAAAAAAATAATCAAATGTTATCAAATTATCAAATGTATCAAAAATTATCAAATGTATTTATTTCAAAAAAAATTATCAAATGTACAGCTATTATATCCAGAATACGACATTTTACAAACCTAAATTCCTTAAAACTGATCTATTACGCATTGGTCTATCCATATCTTATATACTGTAATTTAGTTTGGGGTAACGCTTACAAATCCCACATTCAAAAATTAGTAAATATCCAGAAAAAGATAGTAAGATTAATGACCTTCAAATCCTATTTTGACCATACTGAACCAATTTTTAATGACCTTAAAATACTAAACTTGTATAAATTGAATGACTTCTTAACAAGTCTATTTATGTTCCGATATTTTCATCTACAAAATCTTCCAGAAATTTTTGATAAATATTTTTTAACTAACAAAGAAATCCATAATTACAACACAAGAAATGCATCATTGCTCCACAAAAGTTGTAATAGAACAAATTATAAAAAACACACGCTCGGTAATAACGGCATCGATGTGTGGAATCTCTTCCAATATTTAAATCTACAATGAAAATATATTTTCTTCTGTCAAATTTAAATAAGTAGAATTCTTGGCACAAAGTGAAAAGCCAAATAATTGTTATAGTCTGATATATCTTTTACGCACTTTTCTTATTGTAAATATATCACCGTAATTCCTTTGAAAACAATTGGAGTGGTATTAACTTTTAATATTATATTATTTGAATTGTAACTAGGGACCTTAAACAAAAGCCTTATGGTTTCTAGAAGGTTCCTAGCCCTACTATTGTAATATTTTCTATTTAAATTGTTAATTTTATAAACTGATTTGGGCGAATATATTAAATATTAAATAAATAAATAAATTAATAATTCATGATGCATTGAGATCATATCATCATATGAGTGATATGGCATATAAGCTGTCAGGCTGAGCCTTGTTCTGTTGAATAATAATACTTTAGCAACATTGGATTATAGTACAGCTTAATACTTAATAGTCACTGTGTTTTTATATTAACTTTAGGTGCTATATCACTTAAATGTGTCACTTGTAAGCGGGACACCACCGGAGTGCACAGCTGTAGGATTTGCCAATAACCTTGCCATGCTATAGATACATGTGCTGCTGTGTTAGATGCTGAGGATGAAGAAGAGGGTTTTGGCTCAAAAGTTTTGTGTCGCAGATGTTCATGATTTGTTTACATTATTGTTGGTACTGTATATACAAAATAAACAAACAATGTTACAATATTTATGCACATGTATAAATAAATTTAAAAATTGTAAAAGTTCCAAAACCAAAGAAGTTTGCAATTTCCCAAGGCAATTGGTATGAAAAGGTACTTGTGGAAGTTGACCATTTAGAATCTGCATTCAATAAGTCACAATTTGATAGGTTAGTTAATAATTAAGTGTACTTTGTTTCTGTATATTAGTATATTACTATTCGATGAATATTACTCCCTCGCTTGCATGAAGTTTTCTTGGTCATCATGGAAGCCATTTCATCCCCTCATCAGTCTGTTGCTATAGAAAATACTGTATTTAAGGGGTTAGGGGTGCATGTTGCTTGAATCAATCTAATCTAATCTAAAGACCACTATATTTACCTTCCCGAATCAGTTGATAAAATCAATGTTTCTAAATCTAAATCCATCAATACATCAAGATCAAATTGTGGTGAGTTAATTCTACCAATGCAGAAGTAACAAAATCAAACATCATACCATTAAATTATCTTCCTGTTCCCTTTTTATTGCAGTATTTAACATTTTGATGAATAGTAAACAACCATTGCCAGCACCAAAGAGCAAGAGAGGAAAAGCTGGGCATGAAAATACAACATCTGCCATATGTCTTCTTTGTTGTGAGCAAGACCACATGAAGGTTCACAACTGCACTGATCATTTCATCAGCTGTGATGATCCAAGAGCAGTAGAAGCAATCCAAGCTTTGAAGAAATTAGAAAGGAGGTTAGTACAAATATATGCTATATATGTTCTATTTATGGCTAAGCAGGAATTGCCATATGCCTGACATAAATAAACAGATATTATGTTGTTATGGAAGATTGTAACGTAAAGATTTCATTTCTAAAGTTGTTTGATTATATAGAAAAGCGGACAGTAGTTCATCCGAGCCAAAAGAAAAAGTTGGATCCACAGCTGACATCAACTGTTGGCAGTGAAATTGGATGAAAACAGCATCGAAACTGTGCAGAAGGATAATTGCAAAGAAGATAAGAGCTCAGCTTCTCCAGATTTTTTATGTCATGGAAATCTCAAGTGCAGCAATAGAATCTATGCCATGTAAAGATCTCCAAGCAGGACGCAGTGAAGTTGATGTTCCTACTGAGTCACCATTAGAGCTTGGGTCAGCAAACGAAAAGCAACAAACGTCACTGGATAACTTCTTTTCATCAATATCTTCCATACATGATAGATCATCTTTGGATTATATTGCAGATAGAATAGGTGAAAAGGTCAGTGAAAGACTTAAAGAAAATACTGTTCTGTCACAGAAACAAGCAACTGCAGCAGCTGATACCAGTACTTGCACGTCTGAAGCAAGAAATTTGACTGATTTTCTGCATGACGAGCAGGAATTTGAAATGATTGGAGAAAATGATATGTGGGTCTTGCGCTGTAAAATGTGTTATTCCTATCTTAGCAACCCAGTTGCTTCGTCAGCATTAAAACACAGACCAACTGGAGAATCTTTAGCAACAGGAATAACATTTTCGTTGGATGAATATTCCAAGCACTGCCAAGGTAACTGCGCTGAATGGCGCCGCTTGAAGCACCGAATGTTAGCACATTTGTCTGGTTCATCAAAAACACACCAAAACTCATCACAATATATGAAAGAGCAAGCATAATTACACAGTTGCAAAGGCATTTCCGTTCGAAACCAGCTAAGGACAGCTATTGGAGTGGTGCAAAGTAAATGTGCTGCAATTCATTACGAAACAAAAGTTGCAGAGTTAAATCAAGCAGGTGCTGACGTTGGGGACTTTGGACACTCCAGAAACCTTTTCCCCCAAATGATTGATGTTGCTTGCCATTACATCAACAAAGAGACAAAGGAATACTCAGGGATGGATTTACTGGGGGGGGGTGCAGGGGGGTGCACACCCCCCCTAGCCCTGGCCAGGAGGGGTGCAGGGGGGGTGCTATTTTTCATGATAAAGCAAAAAATTATCAGAGACAAAATGAGATTCAGTAATTTGAGTAATAACATGATGATAAGCGAGCTGTGAACAAGAATTACAATTCAAATACTGTAGCTAGACTTTGCAGTAGTTAAGCAAGTTGATGGATGTGTAAAGTCACTGGTAAGCAATTGCAATGTACTCGTCCGGAAAATTTTTTTCCCTAAAAAGTTGTCGATGGGGGGGGGGGAGGTTGTTGCTTTCCGAAAAATATTTTTGGCAGAGCACCCCCCCTACCAGACCATGCTGGATCCATCCCTGGGAATACTTGCGCACAAGTTTTCCCGAATACTGGTCTACCACCGCACTATTACGTTAGCGCTGACAAATGAACTAATCATAGAGTTTCGAACCAAGTGACAATGGTGTGCCCCGTTGTACAAGGACAGAAGAAAGCTATTCCAGTGGCAGTGAATGCTGTTTATACAACATCTGATGGAAGTGGTGGGAAAGGAGATGAGCTAGCAAACATGATCTTTAATGATTTGAAAACTCACCTAAATATCAAAGGTTCAAGTTTACTACAAATGCAAGGAAAAGTCACGGAGAGACAATATATAAATGAACCCTTTGTTAGGAGCATGAACAAGCCGATTTTTGACGTACTTTCTTCTTCGGGTTTGAACAAGGATGAATTAAAGATCGTCCTAGCGAGCATATGGTGGGATTGTCACTGGGATCCAGCCCACTTATTGGATAAAGTCTTCTCTTCGTTTAAGGACGACAGTTTTGTAAACCGATTTCTTGGGCGAGTTGAACTATTTCATCAAATATTCCGTCATGGCAAAATGTATGCAATTGCCAAAGAAACGGCCAAGGAATCCAACTTGCCATTTCGAGTAACTAATGCTTATGCACCCCAAAGGTTTATGAGCAGCAGCTATTTGAGCCTGAAGCGTTTAGAGATAAGCTATGAAGCATATGTAGAAACATTTCTAGACCATCATAACGAAGAGGAAATGTGATACAAGCTCTGTGGGAATGATTTTGTGTTCGATTTATGCGGTATATTGATCTTCTATGACCAATCGTTGAGCTCATGCTTATGGCCCAACTACAATGGTGACCGGGCGGGAAGTTTCCATCTTACGTGGGCTTAGCTATTGCTCAATTAGAGCTATTTTCCTCAGAGATCCTTAAACACATTCCTGACAAAAAAGCTAGCGCCAGGCTCAATAGGCATGCCAAAGATATAAGAAACAATCGATTCAAATCAGCGGAACTTGAACCTGGATGGATCATCGTTGGACGTGAAGGCAATGGTGACCTTTGTGTGGGAGGCTAGAGAAATCAAGGACTGTCAGAAAGACCTAAAGGACCTTGCTGATGGAATGAAACGGGAATTGGAAGAATGATTTGAAACAGGTTTCAGTTCATATACAGTACAGTACTTAAGTTCTGTTGTGTAGTTACATGGATATTCTTATGGTGACCATTTAAAATTATGCTTATCAAAGGTAATCCAAAGAAATAGTAACAAAAATCTTTGATTAATAAAAAATGCCTTGACTTTGCCTTGCTATTCAATGGAATTTGTGGAATGCGAACTTCCCAGTCTGAAATACCAGTGGACAAAGCTGCCTTTTCCCGTCTTGGCGCCCAGGAATTCAAGCAATGTGTCCAATTTGTGTCCCTTCTCCCTCATGTGAAAGCTCTGAATTTAGCTCTTTGTGATGAGCTGAGTAGTTCCATTTACTGGCGATTAAAAGATAAGCTGATTGATATTGTGTGGGGTCAGTCTTTCATGTTGCTCTTTCCTAGATTCTTCAAGGTTCAAGAAAAACCAGGAAACTACAAAGAAATTCAGCTTAAAGAGAATTTGTTCATCAAGAGGTTTGAAAAAGCTGAAGCTACTGAGTTCACCCTTTCAGATGTGTATAATATAGAACTTGATAATGGAAAAGAAGAGACTGTGTTTTTACACGAGCAAGAATTGATCACAGCGTTATACACGGACACCGATTTTTATACCTCTATTGGGCAAGAATTCTGCATAATATTTGATGTTATCTATGCGAAAACGGGAACTGAAGCTGTCGTGGAATCTTTTTACGGGGTGGTTCGCAGTCAGGAAATGGATGGTGGTCAAAGCATTAAAGTTCTCGGTGACAGAGCAATATGTCTTTTCTAACATATAACTCCCTGTCAAAAGTGCTAACACGAATGAAAGAATCGAAAAAGGGACTCTCCTTCCTTAGATAGAAGAATTTCCCAAGTGTATATTTAATAACTTTGATATTTTAGATAAGCATTTGTTTTGTTCTTGTGGCATGACATGCCTGCACACAGGATTGACTAGGTATGTAATATTTACTAGTTAATTAAAGGTATGTTGCATACAGTCAGTAACACAATTTAGCATTTAGTATATGTATAGAACTAGTTATGTGTGTTAAAGTGCAAAAAACCCGATTATTACACATTTTTCAACTGTAAATAGTCAATTGTGTAGTAAACAACTAATTATGACATTACATGCATTTCATCTTTAAAAGCCTGGGTTTGAGGTGCCATTGTCTGCATGTCATTAGTCAACCTATTTTTTACGTTTCCTTATGATTTCCGCGCAACTGCCACAGTCAATCCCAACATTCCCCGCGCAGAAATAAAACTTTACAGTCTGGGTGGGCTGCTATAAAATGTCAGACATGCCTTCTCTTTTGAAGTCTGGCTCTGAAAAACAATCGCTTATTTTTAGTTTGAAATAAGCTTTCATATCAATCAATCAATACAAATTTATTTAAACACGGTAAAATCTTCAGTACATGGATAATCTAACTATTAGGCACCAATATAACAAAAGTAGCACTCCACAAGTAGGCACCACTATAACAAAAGCTTCGTTTTAAGTAATTTGTTCGTGGCTTGGGCAAATTTAATCTCGTCTCAGAATTTCTTAAATTGTACCCTGTGTCATGAACTGAAAAAAAAGTCTTGTAGATATGACTGTATATTCCCTTTGAGAGTCTTAAAGATTAGGCCAGCCTTAAGCTTTTTGCGTCTTAAGAAAAGGCGATCTAAGTGTAAAGTATTTAATAGGGTGCTTGCACTGGTATCGTAGCTAGACGTTGTAATGACCCTTACCGCTTGGTTCTGTAATTTCTGTATTTTACAGCTTAATGTTTCACCAAGACCATCCCAGACCGAGCAACAGTAGTCAAAATGAGGTTCAATTAAAGATTGGTAAACTTGAATAGCAGTGTTCATGGTAATAAACGGTCTAATGCGTTTTAAAGCGTTTTTTACATAATTTGCAAATATGTACTGACCAAGAAAGGTGTTCGTCAATGTGTAGCCCTAAGGATTTGACGAAATCAACCCTATTTATTTTATCATTTATCTTAATATTCATTTCCCCATCTATAAGTCTTATTTTCTGGCGAGAACCAATAATCATAAACTCTGTTTTTACGATATTTAAGCTTAATCTATTGGTTGTAAGCCAACTATTGAGATTTTTGAGGTCAGAGTTCATGATATTTTCCAGTTCTTCAACAGAATTTGAGGATAACTGATGCTCGTATCATCTGCAAACATTCTGGGTGTTGTATGGTTGAGGCAGTTTGGTAAATCATTAATATAGATAAGAAAAAGTAGTGGCCCCAAATTGCTTCCCTGAGGAACACCACATGTTATTGGGACGGAGTTTGACAATTGACCATTGACCAGACATTTTTTAGTTCTATCGGTGAGATACGATTTAAACCAAGTTAGGCTATTTCGCTCAACTCCATAATTTTCAAGTTTTAGCAACATAATGTCGTGATCAATCGCATCGAAAGCTTTCTTTAAATCAATAAAAACAACTCCATTTACTAGTCCATTGTCAATATTATTTGTAGCCTCAATTAGTGCCGTTAAAGTGCTATGCATTGATCGGAATCCAGATTGACAGGGACTTATTAACAGCTTATTCATATTAAGATATTCATATAATTAATCAAAAATGATTTTTTCAAAAATTTTTGCAACCACTGGAATAACGGATATAGGCTGATAGTTACTTGGGTCAGTTTTAGCACCACCCTTAAATATTGGTGACAACCTGCTCGCCTTCAACTCGCGCGGAAATATTCCTGTATTTATAGATGTAGCAAATATTCCAGTTAAAGAAGGTGCAATCACGTCTGCCGCTAATTTCAATAACTTTTGGGTATTTTATCTAGACCAACAGATTTCTTCTCATCAATTGTACTCAAAAATCTGTGAACGGTATCAACAGTCGGAGTTTGCAATGAAAACGTTTTATCGGATGGTTTAAGATAGAAATTCGGATCATGATCAGGATATGGTATTTTGAGGGCAAGGTTGTCACCAACACTAGAAAAGTAGCTGTTAAATGCTTCGGCTGTTTCAACAGGCGAGGTTATGTCTTGTTCCCCCAAATTTATTTTACTTATTCTTTTCGTTTTTCCAGTATTTCTAGAGCTCAATTCATTAATTAGTTGCCATGTCTTTTTCATATTATGTTTATTGAGGTCTAGATTTTTTGTGAAATAATCTCGCTTAAGTTTCTTAATTTCGGCATTAGTTTGATTTCGAGCTTGATAATAATCTTGCCAAACATGAGGGTCATTTGATGAAATAGCTTTCTTTTTTAAGTAGTCTCTATCATATATCCTGCGCTTTAATTCATTTGTGATCCAAGGGGATTTACGCTTTCTAGTGTGTCTAGACTAAGTGGTGCATGCTTAACAATTGTTGCCATTAACATGTTTTTCCACATCTCCCACATTTCGTTTGGATCCTGGGAACAACATATGTTATGCCACTGTTTTTGTTCTAAATCTCTTAAAAAGCTTTCTCTATTAAAATTCTTCAATGACCTAATTTCCACTGTTCTAGTACCTTCTCGTACGTAACGAGCCTTACGTATCATATATGAATGAATGAATGAATGAATATATTTTTGCCACATATATATCAATTTACATCACTTAGCAAGACATACACATATGGTACACATCACACAATTTAATTAACCTACTAAATATAATAATAAAACATTACGAACTAATTGTGGCGAGGACGTCCAAAGTGAAACCACGAGGCTTATAAATTTGGACTACCTCAATAGCGCATGTATATCATTTTAAAGAAAATAGTGATTACGTATGACATGTAAATAAGACATTTATATATAAAAAGAGAAGAAAAATCGTTTTAACTTATCCTGAAATTTATATATGCATGAAGAATTGCAAATATCAGAAGGCAATGTGTTGTAGAATTTTGGACCCTGATAGTTAACCGAAAACAAACGTATATTTGTCCTGCAATAAGGAACGTAGAGAGTATCAACTTTACGTGTTGCATAATTATGAATTTTGTTAACTTCCAAAAATGAATTTTCAAAACATCGTGGAAGACACTCATGCTGGTATTTAAAAATTAATTTTCCTAACTCAAAGAAATAAATATCTTCAAATTTAAGCAATTTGTATTTACAAAAAATAGGTGTAGTATGTACACCAAACCCTTGTTTATCAACTATTCGCACCACTCGTTTTTGCAAAACGACAAGACGTCAGTTTAGTATTGCTAGCATACGTAGAACCCCAAACTGTGATACAATACTGAAGATAAGGATATACCAGTGCAAAATATAACATTCGCAGTGCTGATTTGAATAAATAGAAACTCGATCTATAAATAATGCCAATTGATTTGGAAATTTTTCGTGCAACATGAGCTATATGAGCTTTCCATGTTAAATTTTCATCCAAAATGACACCTAAGAAACACACCTCATTAACTCTAGTTATAGTTATTTGATTGATTTGTAAAGTAAGATCAAACGTTTGCTTTTTCTGCCTGGTTTTAAATATAACATAATTAGATTTGGGTATATTAATGGAAAGTTTATTGGCCCGAAACCAGTCTGAAAGCAGACGAAGTTCGGAGTTAATAATATTCGTCAAAGACGATATATTATCATGAGAATAAAACAAATTAGTATCATCGG